AAGTTACTTTTTTCTCAATTCTTTAATGTATGTTCCTTAATCTATGACAATTAAATCTGCGTTACCATGAATGCCGAAAGGTATCTCACTATGCTGCAAGATTAAATCTGGCCAGTTGTCAATACCTGGGAGAATATTGAAGACTTAATTTTTATGCAAGATGGTGCTCCTCCACATTTTGCTATTATTGTTCGTGAATGGCTGAATAAACATCTTCCTGGGAGATGGTTGGGTCGACATGGTCCACGTGAGTGGCCGGCCAGAAGCCCTGATTTAACACCCTGCGACTTTTTTCTCGCAATAAACTGATCTTCGCAGGAACTCTTGTGGGATGGCAGAAATAACTTCTCGTAGTCGCCCTTCAAGTTCTTCTAAAGTCTTTGGTTTCGTAGAGTAAACTTGTTCCTTCAACCAACCCCAAAGAAAAAGTTGCAGGGTGTTAAATCAGGGCTTCTGGCCGGCCACTCATGCGAACCACGTCAACCCAACCATCTCCCAGGAAAATGTTCATTCAGCCATTCATAAATAGTTTAAAGTAGTTCATAAATAGTTTAAAATAGGGAGTTACTTTTCAATCACCCTGTATATCTTTTTTATAAATAAAATACTACACTATAGCTCTTTTCTTTCGGCGGTATGGTTATTTTCTTTGGGGCCATCCAGGAGCCCTTAATAAAACTAAAATGGATGTGCATTGCAGTCCCTGGCAGTCCTGTCTCCCTAAGCCACAGAATATTTTGGCTATGCAGAAATTCGGTCATTCTGGTCCTATGGTTGATTTAGTGCTCCTAAATTGAATGATTTTTTCAGTGTTTGTAAAAGAAATAATTCTTAGATTCAGATAAGGTAGGCTTTGAATATTGTTTATACCTAACCACCAGTATGACCAACTAATTTCTGGGTTTGTTTAAAGACAGTAAGCTAAAAGCCAAGAATATTCACCTAAGCCCATGGTCATTTGATGCACTAACAGACTTTTACCATAAAATCAAGTTATCACAACAAAAGCAAGCAAAAAGCTAACATAAGATTATGTGATGAACTGACAGACATTTAACGTAAAATTAAGCTATCACAGCACAGGCGAGCAAAAAGCTAACAGGATCGCTGACTAGCTACCACACATAGGAGTGGCCACCAACCCATCTTTCTGTGGCCCAGTGTTTGAATCAGGTATGTTAATCATGTTTTTTTTATCAGAAACTACTGTTATGTGCACTTTTGAGATAAGTACTAATCTACTTCAAATTTAACAGGTCATGGAAAATTATTTTCAAAATATGGCCCCCCCATAACTTGCAGATAACCAGGCAGACTTTGAACTGCTGAGCTGTCAGATTATGGACAGGCTTTCACAGCTTCATAAATGCCAGAGTATGTCCATTTAGTTGTTTGGGAAGTCACGCGGATGAATACGCAATAGGGAAAAGTAAACCAGTTGCACTGTACCCAAAGTCTTTTATCTTTTTCTTTGCAGAGTATGATGATCCCTATTCAGATATCTGTGCCAATACCTGGGTTAAATAGACATTTCCTTTTGGCTGCCCAGCAGCAGGTCCCTCTCAGCATACAGAAGACTGCAGTCATGTAGAGAAGTGACTGGCCAGAGTTGGCACAGACTGCAGTGCAGGATCATCACCCCCAGAAGCAGTGTCGGCAATGAATACGGAGGGTATAGTTAAATAATTATAATAGCGCTTCAGAGGGATTTTTTTGTAAATTCATGAATGGATGAGAGGGAGAGATGAGAGAGACTTTTGCTCGGAGATGAGCTTTAGCAAACACTAAAATGACAAACTTCTGAGAAAAATAATGTAGTGCTTTGATGTCATTTCAAGGTTTTACAGACTCTGTTCACGGCAATGTTAGTGCTCATTATAATTTATTATTAAGCCTAGCTGCAGCCAAACATTTTCTCAGTTTTTTGATAGCATAGGGAAGAGTTTCATTTTCTGTCTATTTTTGTCTGTAACCCCATTGGGGACATTTTTCTTCACTTCCTCTTCCTGTGATGCCCATACAAGAAATATTGGGTATGACTGTCTTCAACACAGTAAGTCACATCCACCAATAAAAAACTCTCGGGAACTATAACCCTTCCTTACTCTACTCTTATCATTTACCCATTCATAGAAATCGAATTGTTTTTAATTGACTCTGCCGTGGGAAGTGTCCATCGGCTGGCAATGCTGGCCTTATCTTAAAAATGCTAAATATCTGTCAGTTTCTAGCTTAATTTTTTTTGATTCACAGACCAGGCAAAAAACATGCTGCAAATTATTGTTGGGATAGTGTCAGAATTTCTTATTGTTGCAAATTTTATAAATCAGAAATTCAGGAACAAATAAAGCCAAAATATTAGCATGACAAGTAATTTAATTCTCAAAGAACAGTACATCAGTGCCCATAATCTTCTCATGACTAAGTCAATATAACAATAATTAGTAATAAAGGAACTAAGGCATATTGCTTTTGCTCACACAGAATATCAGTTTATCATACTATTGTAGGCAATGGAACCAGTAGCTGTGCACGTGTTCATAGCCATTTTCAAATTTTTACTTTTCTCTGCAATTTTCAATACTGCATATAAACTGTACATATTATCAATTTTTCTACCTACAGAAACAATGGTTAAAAAAAATAAAACTTGATCTAAGCCAACATGTAAGGGAAAAGGTTTAGCAGTTAATGGGTTAAGATTATACAAAGAAAATGGCATCTATGGGTTATCACTTTCCCCGCTAACCATTTCTCTCTTTTTTTCCAGCTGAATGGATAGAAAGGTATAAGATATGTTATTTGTGTTACAAAATAGAGTACGGAAAGACAAAAGCCAAAAAGCTTTTATTTCCGAAAATAACTATGGACAAAATGAACAGGTCAGAAAGTGAGGAAGAAAGCAGCTTTTTTTCTTTAAGCTTGATGACCCATAAAGGATAAGGCAAAGAAGAAATGGTGAATTCAGTCAGCCAAGTACTGGGAGATGCATCACAGTACCATAACATCCTAAAGTATACACAAACCTCCTTCCCAGGAGGTTATGGCGTATTCTTTATATCCCCTCTCAAAAGTGTCAAATATGGTTAGCCAAAATGAGCTACAAACCATGAGAACAACAAGAAAGTTAATTACCGTACCTTAAAAGCAAAAACTATAATCATAAAAAAGCTCAACAGTGAATGTAAAGGTTTTGTTACAGAAGTCCTCTTCTGGTTTTTCAAATCTGTAATTTATAAGTGCATTGGAAAAAAGTCCTGCTTTCTGCATCTTTGCTGCCGTGCCATAGAATTCAATTGTAGGGTATGTAAAATGCACCTTAAAAGGGGTGGACTCCCTTTTGCACTTAGAATAGATGGTCTTCTGGGCATTTTGACAACAAATCAGAGACCTACAAGATCATCATAGTTCAGACACTGTCCATATTTTGCTACACATTTTAATTGACGTGTGACCAGGGGCGGACTGACAACTCATGGGGCCCCCGGGCAATAGGGGATCATGGGGCCCCTGTGTCCTTGCCCAAACTCAAAAAAGCTAATGAAAAAGGTACCAGGGGCATCTCATGGGGCCCCCTACTGACCCCGGGCCCTTGGGCAGTGCCCGAGTTTCCAAATGGTCAGTCCGCCCCTGCGTGTGACCTTTTTCTGATAAACAGCACTGGCCCCAGGTCCTCCTGCTGATTTGGAACATTCAGGAAGGAGCTGAGTTCCCTTCTCCTCCCTACTCCCCCCCCCTCTTTTTGTTCCTGTCCTTTTCTTCTCTTTCTATCTTTTCTTTTTTCTTAGTTTGAATGTCAGGTTCATCTTTCAAACACCTCTATACTTCAGGTTGCCATGCTAGACCCTGTGTATCCAGAGGGTGATGGTGGGCTTGTTGTTAAGGGGGCCGTCCACCCTTCCCTCTATATGTCAGGGTCCCAATGTCAGGCCTTATACTACAACACCCTTCCTACCTGATTTGATATGTGTGCACACTGGGGATGTTGACCTATGTGATTTGATTATAATTAGAGATGAGCGAAGTATTCAAAAATTTGATTCGGCTGATTCGGCGAATTCGAGGAATAAATTCGATTCGAGGCGCATATATTCGCTGCGAATTTAACTTATAAAAAGGGTGTTTCTAGGCTTCAGAGAGCCTTTATATTAGTGCAGAACACTGTACCTTTAATTTAAATGCCCTTGGAGTCTGCTGGGGAAGAGAAATAATACTGTCAGTCAGTATGACATGCAGATGAGTGCCGTCGATCTTAGAATCACCGCACACTTCACTCATTTGGGCAGTCACGGGGCCAAAACCAGAGTGTGGAGCCACAGTGTGGCGGTGGAGGCAGCAGCAATGGGAGGCCATACAGCACCCTATGACAAAATGGAACCCACCAGCAGTGTGAGGAGACCTGAAAGTGGCACATGGCAGAGTGTGGCGATGGAGACAGCAGCAATGGGAGGCCGTACAGGGACCCATGAGACACTCTGGAACCTGGCAGCAGCATGAGGAGGCGGTACAGGGGCCCATGACAGATTATGGGCCTGGCAGCAGCATGAGGAGTCGGTACGGGGGCCCATGGCAGATTACGGGCCTGGCAGCAGCAATGGGAGGCCCGTAATCTGCCAGCACCCTATGACAAAATGAAACCCACCAGCAGTGTGAGGAGACCTGAAAGTGGCACATGGCAGAGTGTGGCGATGGAGACAGCAGCAATGGGAGGCCGTACAGGGACCCATGAGACACTCTGGACCTGGCAGCAGCATGAGGAGGCGGTACAGGGGCCCATGACAGATTACGGGCCTGGCAGCAGCATGAGGAGTCGGTACGGGGGCCCATGGCAGATTACGGGCCTGGCAGCAGCAATGGGAGGCCCGTAATCTGCCAGCACCCTATGACAAAATGGAACCCACCAGCAGTGTGAGGAGACCTGAAAGTGGCACATGGCAGAGTGTGGCGATGGAGACAGCAGCAATGGGAGGCCGTACAGGGACCCATGACACACTCTGGACCTGGCAGCAGCATGAGGAGGCGGTACAGGGGCCCATGACAGATTACGGGCCTGGCAGCAGCATGAGGAGTCGGTACGGGGGCCCATGGCAGATTACGGGCCTGGCAGCAGCAATGGGAGGCCCGTAATCTGCCAGCACCCTATGAAAAAATGGAACCCACCAGCAGTGTGAGGAGACCTGAAAGTGGCACATGGCAGAGTGTGGCGATGGAGACAGCAGCAATGGGAGGCCGTACAGGGACCCATGAGACACTCTGGACCTGGCAGCAGCATGAGGAGGCGGTACAGGGGCCCATGACAGATTACGGGCCTGGCAGCAGCATGAGGAGTCGGTACGGGGGCCCATGGCAGATTACGGGCCTGGCAGCAGCAATGGGAGGCCCGTAATCTGCCAGCACCCTATGACAAAATGGAACCCACCAGCAGTGTGAGGAGACCTGAAAGTGGCACATGGCAGAGTGTGGCGATGGAGACAGCAGCAATGGGAGGCCGTACAGGGACCCATGAGACACTCTGGACCTGGCAGCAGCATGAGGAGGAGGCGGTACGGGGGCCCATGGCAGATTACGGGCCTGGCAGCAGCAATGGGAGGCCCGTAATCTGCCAGCACCCTATGACAAAATGGAACCCACCAGCAGTGTGAGGAGACCTGAAAGTGGCACATGGCAGAGTGTGGCGATGGAGACAGCAGCAATGGGAGGCCGTACAGGGACCCATGAGACACTCTGGACCTGGCAGCAGCAGCATGAGGAGGCGGTACGGGGGGCCCATGGCAGATTATCGGGCCTGGCAGCAGCATGAGGAGTCGGTACGGGGGCCCATGGCAGATTACGGGCCTGGCAGCAGCAATGGCCCGTAATCTGCCAGCACCCTATGACAAAATGGAACCCACCAGCAGTGTGAGGAGACCTGAAAGTGGCACATGGCAGAGTGTGGCGATGGAGACAGCAGCAATGGGAGGCCGTACAGGGACCCATGAGACACTCTGGACTCTGACCTGCAGCAGCATGAGGAGGCGGTACAGGGGCCCATGACAGATTACGGGCCTGGCAGCAGCATGAGGAGTCGGTACGGGGGCCCATGGCAGATTACGGGCCTGGCAGCAGCAATGGGAGGCCCGTAATCTGCCAGCACCCTATGACAAAATGGAACCCACCAGCAGTGTGAGGAGACCTGAAAGTGGCACATGGCAGAGTGTGGCGATGGAGACAGCAGCAATGGGAGGCCGTACAGGGACCCATGACACACTCTGGACCTGGCAGCAGCATGAGGAGGCGGTACAGGGGCCCATGACAGATTACGGGCCTGGCAGCAGCATGAGGAGTCGGTACGGGGGCCCATGGCAGATTACGGGCCTGGCAGCAGCAATGGGAGGCCCGTAATCTGCCAGCACCCTATGAAAAATGGAACCCACCAGCAGTGTGAGGAGACCTGAAAGTGGCACATGGCAGAGTGTGGCGATGGAGACAGCAGCAATGGGAGGCCGTACAGGGACCCATGAGACACTCTGGACCTGGCAGCAGCATGAGGAGGCGGTACAGGGGCCCATGACAGATTACGGGCCTGGCAGCAGCATGAGGAGTCGGTACGGGGGCCCATGGCAGATTACGGGCCTGGCAGCAGCAATGGGAGGCCCGTAATCTGCCAGCACCCTATGACAAAATGGAACCCACCAGCAGTGTGAGGAGACCTGAAAGTGGCACATGGCAGAGTGTGGCGATGGGAGACAGCAGCAATGGGAGGCCGTACAGGGACCCATGAGACACTCTGGACCTGGCAGCAGCATGAGGAGGCGGTACGGGGGCCCATGGCAGATTACGGGCCTGGCAGCAGCAATGGGAGGCCCGTAATCTGCCAGCCCCTATGACAAAATGGAACCCACCAGCAGTGTGAGGAGACCTGAAAGTGGCACATGGCAGAGTGTGGCGATGGAGACAGCAGCAATGGGAGGCCGTACAGGGACCCATGAGACACTCTGGACCTGGCAGCAGCATGAGGAGGCGGTACGGGGGCCCATGGCAGATTACGGGCCTGGCAGCAGCAATGGGAGGCCCGTAATCTGCCAGCACCCTATGACAAAATGGAAACCCACCAGCAGTGTGAGGAGACCTGAAAGTGGCACATGGCAGAGTGTGGCGATGGAGACAGCAGCAATGGGAGGCCGTACAGGGACCCATGACACATTACTGGACCTGGCAGCAGCATGAGGAGGCGGTACAGGGGCCCATGGCAGATTACGGGCCTGGCAGCAGCAATGGGAGGCCCGTAATCTGCCAGCACCCTATGACAAAATGGAACCCACCAGCAGTGTGAGGAGACCTGAAAGTGGCACATGGCAGTAGTGTGGCGATGGAGACAGCAGCAATGGGAGGCCGTACAGGGACCCATGACAGACTTACGGGCCTGGCAGCAGCATGAGGAGGCGGTACAGGGGCCCATGGCAGATTACGGGCCTGGCAGCAGCAATGGGAGGCCCGTAATCTGCCAGCACCCTATGACAAAATGGAACCCACCAGCAGTGTGAGGAGACCTGAAAGTGGCACATGGCAGAGTGTGGCGATGGAGACAGCAGCAATGGGAGGCCGTACAGGGACCCATGAGAGATCTGGGCCTGGCAGCAGCATGAGGAGGCGGTACAGGGGCCCATGGCAGATTACGGGCCTGGCAGCAGCAATGGGAGGCCCGTAATCTGCCAGCACCCCTATGACAAAATGGAACCCACCAGCAGTGTGAGGAGACCTGAAAGTGGCACATGGCAGAGTGTGGCGATGGAGACAGCACAGCAGCAATGGGAGGGCCGTACAGGGACCCCATGAGACACTCTGGACCTGGCAGCAGCATGAGGAGGCGGTACAGGGGCCCATGGCAGATTACGGGCCTGGCAGCAGCAATGGGAGGCCCGTAATCTGCCAGCACCCTATGACAAAATGGAACCCACCAGCAGTGTGTGAGGAGACCTGAAAGTGGCACATGGCAGAGTGTGGCGATGGAGACAGCAGCAATGGGAGGCCGTACAGGGACCCATGACACTTACGGGCCTGGCAGCAGCATGAGGAGGCGGTACGGGGGCCATGGCAGATTACGGGCCTGGCTGGCAGCAGCAATGGGAGGCCCGTAATCTGCCAGCACCCTATGACAAAATGGAACCCACCAGCAGTGTGAGGAGACCTGAAAGTGGCACATGGCAGAGTGTGGCGATGGAGACAGCAGCAATGGGAGGCCGTACAGGGACCCATGACACACTCTGGACCTGGCAGCAGCATGAGGAGCGGGTACAGTACAGGGGCCCATGGCAGATTACGGGCCTGGGCAGCAGCAATGGGAGGCCCGTAATCTGCCAGCACCCTATGACAAAATGGAACCCACCAGCAGTGTGAGGAGACCTGAAAGTGGCACATGGCAGAGTGTGGCGATGGAGACAGCAGCAATGGGAGGCCGTACAGGGACCCATGAGACACAGATCTGGGCCTGGCAGCAGCATGAGGAGGCGGTACGGGGGGCCCATGGACAGATTACGGGCCTGGCAGCAGCAATGGGAGGCCCGTAATCTGCCAGCACCCTATGACAAAATGGAACCCACCAGCAGTGTGAGGAGACCTGAAAGTGGCACATGGCAGAGTGTGGCGATGGAGACATGGGCCCCCCCTGCCACGCTTGACTTTCTGGCCACATAGTCGACATACGGCTACGTTTACTTCCTCGGGCGGCTTGACGAAAAATTGCCACACCGCCGAGTAGGAAACTTTGCCCCCGCTACTCCTCACTGGCTGACTGCTACTTCCTCCGTGCACATGGACACCACTACTGGCCGTGGTGGTAGGCTGCAGTGGAGCTGGTGCTCTACTCCGTGGCCGTTTGCCTCCACTGACACTGCTGCGACCCTGCTGCCTCCTGGGCAACCCACCGACTGTTTTGCTGCTGCTGCCAAGCTGGCACCCTCTTCTCCTGATGATGCGCCCGTAAAGCAATAGCCTGATGACGACGAGGCTGCCAAGTGCGATCAGCCTCATCATCATCAATTAGGGTCTCCGCCTCACTACTAGCCCCCTCGGCTGCGTGTGGGTCAGGAGACAGACCTGTCTCTAGACCGGCTACCGAGCCACTCTCCTCGCCAGTACTTCTTCGCCTGGCTGCTGAAGAGGCGGATGTCTCCCCCCGTTCCTGACCGCCCTCTGTTAGCTCTTCCTCACTGTACAGTGGGGCTGAGCCCACAGCATGCGATACTTCGCTTGGTGAGGGAACACCAAAGGACAGGGGCAGGTAGAGGACACGTGATTTCAGTGGGCTTGCTCCCGGGCCATGCCAACTAACGGTTGTGTCTGACGTACCCACCGACCGTTGGCTGTAGGTGTCAGAGGTGACCTGGGAAGAGGAAGACGACCGAGCCAACCAATCGATGACGGCAGGGTTGTCGGTGGAGACACGACCGCTGGATGACACCGGGAGCACTGGCCTCTGGCTGCGACTAGTGCTGCCTCGACCCCTTCCTCTGCTGCCACAATTCTGTCGCTCCTGAAAACATTGCCTCCTCTGCCACTCCTCTGTGTTGTCTGACATACTCTTTAATTCAACGATTCTGTGTCCCTGAGTAACGATTCTGTGTCCCTGAGTAACAATTCTGTGTCTGTCCCTGAGTAAATTCTGTGTCCCTCAGTAACAATTCTGTGTCCTGTCCCTGAGTAACAATTCTGTGTCCCTCAGTAACAATTCTGTGTCCCTCAGTAACAATTCTGTGTCTGTCCCTGAGTAACAATTCTGTGTCCCTGAGTAACAATTCTGTGTCCCTGAGTAACAATTCTGTGTCCCTGAGTAACAATTCTGTGTCCCTGAGTAACATTCTGTGTCCCTGAGTAACAATTCTGTGTCCCTCAGTAAACAATTCTGTGTCCCTCTGAGTAACAATTCTGTGTGTCCCTGAGTAACAATTCTGTGTCCCTCAGTAACAATTCTGTGTCCCTCAGTAACAATTCTGTGTCCCTCAGTAACAATTCTGTGTCCCTCAGTAACAATTCTGTGTCTGTCCCTGAGTAACAATTCTGTGTCTGTCCCTGAGTAACAATTCTGTGTCCTGAGTAACAATTCTGTGTCCTGTAGAGTAACAATTTCTGTGTCCCTCAGTAACAATTCTGTGTCCCTCAGTAACAATTCTGTGTGTCCCTGAGTAACAATTCTGTGTCTGTCCCTGAGTAACAATTCTGTGTCCCTGAGTAACAATTTCTGTGTCCCTGAGTAACAATTCTCTGTGTCCCTCTGAGTCCCTAGTAACAATTCTGTGTCCCTGAGTAACATTCTCTGTGTCCCTGAGTAACAATTCTGTGTCCCTGAGTAACAATTCTGTGTCCCTGAGTAACAATTCTTTCTGTGTCCCTGAGTAACAATTCTGTGTCTGTGTCCCTGAGTAACAATTCTGTGTCCCTGAGTAACAATTCTGTGTCCCTGAGTAACAATTCTGTGTCCCTGAGTAACAATTCTGTGTCCCTGAGTAACAATTCTGTGTCCCTGAGTAACAATTCTGTGTCCCTGAGTAACAATTCTGTGTCCCTGAGTAACAATTCTGTGTCCCTGAGTAACAAATCTGTGTCTGTGTCCCTGAGTAACAATTCTGTGTCCCTGTAACAATTCTGTGTCCCTGAGTAACAATTCTGTGTCCCTGAGTAACAATTCTGTGTCCCTCTGAGTAACAATTCTGTGTCCCCTGAGTAACAATTCTGTGTGTCCCTGAGTAACAATTCTGTGTCCCTGAGTAACAATTCTGTGTCCCTCAGTAACAATTCTGTGTCCCTCAGTAACAATTCTGTGTCTGTCCCTGAGTAACAATTCTGTGTCCCTCAGTCCCTGAGTAACAATTCTGTGTCCCTCAGTAACAATTCTGTGTCCCTCAGTAACAATTCTGTCTGTCCCTGAGTAACAATTCTGTGTCCCTGAGTAACAATTCTGTGTCCCTGAGTAACAATTCTGTGTCCCTCAGTAACATTTCTGTGTCCCTGAGTAACAATTCTGTGTCCCTGAGTAACAATTCTGTGTCCCTCAGTAACAATTCTGTGTCCCTGAGTAACAATTCTGTGTCCCTGAGTAACAATTCTGTGTCCCTGAGTAACAATTCTGTGTCCCTGAGTTCAATTCTGTCCCTCAGTAACAATTCTGTGTCCCTGAGTAACAATCTCTGTGTCCCTGAGTAACAATTCTGTGTCCCTGAGTAACAGTTCTGTGTCCCTGAGTAACAATTCTGTGTCCCTGAGTAACAATTCTGTGTCCCTGAGTAACAATTCTGTGTCCCTGAGTAACAATTCT